TGCAGTAGTAGTGGACAAGAATAGAGGCGAGTACGCTTCATATTTGGCAGGGTCGACAAGGTGATCAGGAGTGAGAATCCTGGAGGTGTTGTAGACTTGGCCGGTATTGTCGAGAATACTGTTTTGCAAGACTGACACGTAGTCACCATACCAAGTGTTGGTAAAGCTCAATGCTGGAACAATGATCCAGACGAAGAAAACAACACCGATCAAAGTGTTTACGTGTGCGTACCATGGACTCAGTAGTGGGCTGTTATAGAAGGAGTTGATTTGTGCCCAGTCAAGAGTAAACCCGGTAAACGGGAAGCCGATTGCGAGACCAGTGCTCTGTCCAAAGAGTTGGTTGACAACAACATTGTTGGGCTTGGCCCAAGTGACCCAGGCAAAGTAGCTGAATGCAGGAATGATAAAGTCTGGGAGCCAAGACCAGATGAACATACCGATCATGACGTACATGAACATTCGGTACCGCGAGATGGACCAGCCGTGCGTGGTCGTAGGGTCAGTCGGCCCGTGGTCATGGAGAGCATACATGAAACCGACATTGACGAGCGCGCCAGGCCAAATCATGGAAGCAGGTTCTACAAGAAACTTTCGGACGGAACCTGCTAGACCAAACCCAAGACATTGGGTGGACAGAGCAAAAAGCGTGTTGAAGCCCCATCCGAACTGGCTCGTGTTGAACTTGTAGAACTTGCGGAGTGAGACGACAGTGTCGACAAAGTATCCAGCGCCACCACCAAAGGCAGCATTGGCCATTGCGACAATGATGACGTGCTCCTTGACATTGAAAGGTCCTGGATTGAGATTTCCTTTGAGCCCGAAGATGCTGAACTCCTTGTTGGGAAGGACTCTGGCGAAGAAGATACCGATCGGGTAGGCAATCAGCAGTACAACGTAGGGACCGATGTTGATAAGGGGGTAACGCAGCAAGAAGAGTGCGTTGACTGATGAGCAGACGGTGGTCATAAGGAGACCAATGACCCATGAGCGAATGGTGCTGGCAGGAACGTCGTCATCGTAGTTTCGAACGACAGCACGGACCTGTTGTCTTAATTAGTTCCATGTGGAGGTATTTAGACATTCTTGCAACTCACTTCAGGATATGGCGAGTTCTCGATCACTTCTCCAACAACCTTTGCCTCGCCGTTTTGGTCGTGGGCTGCAGTGGCGGCATCGACCATGTCAACCGCCTCGTCTGGCAGGTTAGGGTCCCATTTGTGTTCTTGACGGAAAGCTTTTAGGCGTTGGTTTGCCTCTGCTTCACTGATGTCGCGAACGTCCGAGGCGCCGTTGCTGGATGTCTCTCCGTGGGTGTCATTGGTTTGTTCGCTAACAGTGACAGGGTCCTTCTCGGTTGTTGACCTCTTGAAGCCCAACCTCTTACCAAAGCCTTTGGGCGACATCTTTTCGATGTTGGACAGGAATAGAGAATGGAGGAGATGACCCTTGCAGAAATACCCAGGACCATGGTCCTTTATAACTGATCTTCAATGGCATGATACTTACATGCTCGACGGCTCAAGGTTCGCAAACGAATATTGCCTCGGCCAGCTATCTATGGAGCAGCTTCTAGATAGAGCAATGGGCACGGCACAATGGCACCAATCAGATACCCTAGTTTGAATGATATCTGATGCGCCACGAACACTACTGCAGTTTGGGGACGAGCGGGGTGAAGGGTCTAACTGGTCTTCGGGACACGCCGCGCAATGAATGGATATAGAGTTGTTGGCTAAGCTTTGGTGCCTTCCAACTCCGGCATGGTCGACATTTTGGTAGCGATAGTGCAGGTCTTGATAAAGCTTGGAATGTTAGGGTTCCATGGTCACGGTGCTTATGATGTGGCGCGTGTTCCTCGTATTTCCGGTGGAGTCTCGGAAACTTCGGCTTCGAAGGCCAATGGCATTCGATTAGAGATGAGAGAAAGTGTGCGGGGATCGGATAGAAGGGAAGTGTGTTTGATGTCTCCCTTGTAGAAATTCGAACACATGCATCATCGCTGTTGAGCGACGGTTTTGTTCGAAAGTCAGCCAACAACGGTTCCCGTATGCATGTCACCTTCGAGAGGGTGCATGGAAGCTTTCAGTGACATGGTTTGTGCCTGTACACGAGTCGAGCCATTGTGTCTGCAATGAGACGCGGGCCGGTGGGGTAGATAAGGAGGCAGTCCCTCGATTAGATACGCGCCAACGGCCTATCACGCTTCAACTCTACCGCAACCCCATGCATCGTGGCTCCCGTAGACTGAGCGTTGTCCAATGATCGATTGGAAAGAGAAGACAATTCGGCCGACGGGTGACCGGGGGCGGTATCTGATGTCCAAGCGGGAATTGATACATCCATCAGGGCCTGTTGGATTTCGCTATCATAGTTCTGTTTATCCGTAGGTTGATTGGATACGGGTAGAAGAAGCCACTGACAGTAGTGTGTCGGTGTAGAGGAATTGTAGCAGGACCCAATGAATTACCTGGGTCCTGGACGGGAATTTGCAAGTCCATTTTGCTCTCCCGGCTTCGCTATACCTATATGGGTTGATGGTAGACTAGTTCTACGCTAGTAGCGCCATAGCTGTGTAGTTGTGGTGATTTCAATCCAAACGGAGCTCTTCGTTCCGTTCAATTCACCTGCCGAAGCTCCGTTCCGCAGCTCTAGTGCCGTTGGTACATACCTACCGGGCCGATACCACAGTTATACGGCCGAACAAGCCCCTAGTCTGAATATCAGCAGGAGGTTGGTGATGAAGTCATCCGGCCAATCTTCTAAGAAGAGTATCCGAAAGGGTGTTTCTATGCAAAGTAGATCGCAAGTAGGACGTTGAGTAGGATTTCGTTTGTGGATTTTGGTTCGTACTAATGCGACCGACACAACGGATTGCGCTAGTCTCGTGGCGTGCTTTGATGTGGCGTTTGCTTATCAGCTGTCAGCTTCCGAGTCATGTAGTGGCCACGCGACGCCACTCCGTAATTACGTAGTAAAGGACCTCGGAGCTTTCCACTCTAGACAGACGCACTGCATTTGGCCTACCTTTTACCTTCCATGAGCTTAAGAACATTTAAGTAAACGCTGTTGTTCTAAGCATAGTCGTACCCAAGAAACCTAGATTGTCACGTTTCCTAATTTGTGCCTAATAACCGACAACAAAGATCAAGTACACCAACTACATACATACTTCCGCTATATGCTCCTTTAGCCCCTTTCACATTCCACCTTACAGCCCCCCTTTCCCCCTCCCCCTTTTCGATTTTCGCCACATTGTTCGGCCGGCGGCACTCAATCTTGTGACGAGTGAGTTACAATTATGCGAGTGGGTGTGAGCAAATGCCTACTGCAGTGTATCATTTGCCGTTCTTTTTATTTTTGAAGAGAGCGTACTATTTCCTTGTACCTATGCTACGCTATTATCTCTTTGCTATGTAGCTGTAGACAGGTCTTTATTGCTTCCTCCTGTAATCGCACTTCGATACTACTATTCTTTTTAAATATAGGAACACTAATAGTAGATATCTTCCTCTAATGCATTACTAAAAATGCAAACTGCTTGTTCTCTCTGAAAGACTTATTTACTTACACAAACTAATTCTTCCACTCAAAGTTCTGCCCTTATACTACGAATGTAGCTACTTCTTGGAAGAGAAAATCTCCCGCAGCGAAATTCTACGCGATCCACGCTATTTAAGTTGGAGGCTTCTTCTGAATTATCAGTCAGAGAAAATGCGCAATAGATAATATAGTTCCTTGGATAAAATCTGTTCAACAATTCAGCTACATCCAAGGTCCAATGCAGCTTCATCCCCAAGCTATGAAATGATTGGGATGAGAGAAGAAGCTCTCTTCATGTACTTATTGGCCGTCAGTACCAGAAAGAACTTCCAGCAGTACTCTGATATCGCTAAAGTAACCGGCACATCGAAAGTCGAAGAATGTGAACAAGAGATGTTCGGTAGCCAGGGTCATAATGGCAAGACACTCAGAATGCATTTCCTCTGGCTCATCTTCCATGGTTCTATAAGTCTGCATTTTTAAGCACTTGAACTTGGAATCTCGTTCTTTCTTAGCAAATTTCTGCTACTTTCTTTTTCCCCTCAAGAAATATGCCATAGGAGGTGAAGTGAAACAAGCAAGCCTCTGATAGAGCGGTGTGACCACTCAGGAAACTCGTGTTGATAAATTCTTGATTCCGCTAAAACTATCACTCATAGCGATCTAGTGGGTATGCATCTTTCATTACTAAAAGGGGAATATTGGAATGAGTGTGGTTTGCATCCTTCTACATGCCAAAATGGCAAAGAAATGTCTACTAGTAGTAGTACTATGAGGATATCTTGCTATCTGACTCTCAAATGCTGCTTTGTAGCATAGCATGCTTTTTTAGGCTGTGTGGTACAGTGGGGCCGGACCGCTGTGTGCTACCAAAAGCGCGAAAAGGAAAATATCAAGAACTACTTTCCGGTGAAACAAAAGTTCGGACAAAAGGGTCCTGAAAAGGGTCCAAGAGGCGAGAAAAAGCAAGAGTCCACATCATGAGCGGAACCTTTTGCCGGCCAGTTAGCATTATCTAGACCGATCTTTCCCCAGATTAAGGTGTGCTAAACCAATCATAATATTCATCTATGCTTCTCAGGTTCGTCACACAAAATGCAAATCCGCAAGATAGTAACACTAAAGGGAGAAAAGACTTTTGATTGGGGCAGAGCTCCTCTGCCACCTCTCGTATTGTCTGGGCAAGATACAAATTTGCGCATATGATAAAAGAAAACCCTTTGAAAAGCATCCAGGTCAAGCCCCAGTGTCTCTTATTTGCGCATGACGCATTATCCATAAACAATCATGATTTTGCACATCTCGGCTGATGAGTTACTTGTCGCATGCAGCGGTGGGAATGTGGCGCAAAAAGTAATTTAGACATTGATGATATAAACCTGTAACCGTGGAAGACTTTGTAACTACCATTCCGCAACAAAATTTCCTCATAATTCACCCATTTGCCTGCACTTGCCATGAGAGCCTCTTGGATCTATCTTACTTCCGCCCTATGTACGGGGGCTGTTGCCTATGACCCCCAGTACACCATGAGCACGTCAGACTTTTCTGGGATTTCCGGGAACTCCTACCAGTGCGAAAATGGTAAGTAGATCTGAGAATTCAAAACAATCTGAGTTCCTGACGTATAACATTAGGAGTGAAACCTTCAGTCACTTGTACGGACCCGTCACTCAACAACGACACCTGTTCGTGCACTTGCACAAACGGCATCATCTTCAACCAGCCGGTTCCATCGCCTGGTCAGAGCAGCGGGGGCAATGATGCTTCACTTGACATATGCCAGGCGGAAAGGAATCAATACATGGAGCGCGAGCGAGAGGCGATGGTTAAACTTCACGAGATGGAACAGGCGCACCTCAAGTGCCAGGAAGGTCAGGCAGCTGAACTTGTGGCGGCACAACAGGCGCATGCTGTTCGCGAGAAAGAACTTTCAGACGAACTCACTTCGGCACGACAGGCACATGCTACCTGCGATCGGGAACTGTCAGAGCTGAAGGCCGGCTGGTCTTTCGCCCCATTTAAGCACCAGGGCTGCTACTTCGATAGCACCAATCGACTGATTAACGACAAGGTTACCAACGACGCCAGTATGACGGTGAGAAGATGCAGAGACTTCTGTCAGGGCTACTTACACTTTGGTCTCGAGGCGGGTCAATTTTGCTTTTGCGGAAACAAGTTCTTACGTATAGGAAAATTGGCTCCAGAGATTGACTGTTCCTGGCCTTGCGCCGGTAACAAGAACGTAAACTGTGGAGGCAGCTCTAGGATATCTTTGTACTCTTACCAGTCAGCTATTTGAACCCGAGAAGTGGCTGGAGTAGCTCTGTAAGGTGCTGATTGCAAGAGCGCTCGTCGACTTTATTAGCCAATATCGGTCAATTTAGGATTGGCATATGTGGAGGGTAAATGATTTTGTACTGTACTGGCTTATGAGGTGGGCAACCTACAGCACCTTTATCTATAATACCTTGTAGATTAATAGCGGTCACATGTTTGTAATCAAATTGTCCCTTCTTGGGCTAAACTTTTGGCCTTTACATAGATTGCTTCATTTAAATCCTTAGTGGAACAAAACCTCAACAACAGTGGCGCTACTTCAAAAGCGCATAATCGACCTCGTCTCTGTGACTTCCAACAGGAGACCTAAAATTTTCCTTTTTTTCCATTTCGAGACAATCTTACAGAATTTGTTGGGTTGTGTCAACTCTTTTTCTTAAAGGTTCCAGGTCTTACACACAGTCATTTCATCTTTCTAGGAGCTTAAGCGACAAAGCTCTCATCCAGGTCATGTAGACCGAATCATATCATAGTGGTACGAAATACATGACTACCAAAAACCAAGATGTATCCTCTTATTCTAGCTCTCTTCTGTATATATTTTTCTGAGTGCCCAATCGAATCATGTCAACGCTCAATTCTCACCGATCCATTGACGAAACGAGCTGCTTAGGAAAACTAGTATGTACACCACACCGATCATCCATACCAACATACCTACCCATCCAAAAGTGGGCCAGCCCGCACTTCCGGCAATCGGCAGACCAAAATAGTCGGATAAACATCACGTCCAACTTCAACCCAAGTCGCTGGTGAAATCACTGCAAAGGCGTTACAAGTCCCATAAAACATCCATAGTTGTCGGAAAGTACATCATAATCCACCTCCTTACTCCGAAATAGCCTAGCCATACATTGTGTAGTATATACAGGGTCGTGGCTTTGTCATTGCATACTAATAAGTGCATTTATCATCCGGTTTTTTTCGTCCATCACTGCATCCGCTGCCCGCACCCACCCGACCAAATCCGTGAAACCCATCTCACCAACGCCGCCACAACACGCGCGCAGAAGATCGGGAGCGGGGTTCGCGGGTGGGACGGTGGGACCCGTAGCCTCGATGAAGAAAAAGAAAAGTGGAGAAAACCGAGGTAACAAAAGCTGTTACTATTAGTGTACACACATATAAGAGAGAAACTTTCCATCGCACACACACACACACACACACACACACACACTCCTTGCAAACATACCTTCATCATCACCACCACCACCCGTCTACAAAAACCGTATACTACACTTAAATCTTCCTCTCTTCCACCAAACAACAAGCTTAACCCGTCCCCCCCCAAAACAAACAAACAAACAAACATGGCTCCCGCAACAGTCATGGTCCTCTACCCCAAGACCGCAACCTCCACCTTTGACGAGAAATACTACCTTGCAACGCACATGCCCCTCGCCGCAAAGCACTGGACCAAGCACGGCCTCAAAAACTTCAAAGTGTCACAGCTCAATGCCGACGGGCCCTATGCGTACTCGTCCGTCATGGAGTGGGAGAGCTACGAGGGCTTTCAGGCTGCGCTAAAGGATCCCGGTACCAAGGAGATTATGGAGGATGTGCCCAACTTCAGTAACGAGAAGGCGGTTTTGCTGCATGGTAGTGTTATTGGGTCGGGTTAGAGCCGGCTTAAAAAAAATGGAGGGGTAGCTGGTGCTGGTGCTCCGTTTTTTCCCTGGAATGAGGGGGGGTTACGGTTTCTGCCCCGCACCGAGGGGCATTCTGTTGTGGATTTGCGGAATTAGAAGTTGAATGTAGTATAGTACCGCGTCTGCCTCGAAGCGCATGCTTGGTCCCCAAGCTCAAATATCGTTTTTAACATGTAAACAGTTCCAGAAGCGATTCCCCTCAATATCCTCTTGTTACTATATGACAGAGTATGCCAAACCACTACAAAAGAAATATAAGCAAATGCATCATTACGTCATAGGGTAGAGATTGCTACCGAAAAGGCAATTATGCATGTATTCGATCAATGCCCACTATCAAGTATGCTAAGAAAAAAAAGTACAAAAAGAAAAGAAAAAAGTCTAGAAAACCCTAAAGCTTAACTCCATTCCCATGTCTGGACCCCACTATGCAAGAATGTTTTTATCCAGACCCAAAACCAAAACTTCTAGATGCACCGAGGCCATCAAGGCATGCACCAAACTGGACAAAGGAAAAAGACGCAAGGAAAAACATGTACAAGGATTGACCCCCCATCTATCCAATCGGAATATTACAAATTAAACCCGATCTCGAAATTTATCAATTGCTCTTACGGCTGTGGGCCCGTTCATCGTCGCAAATGACCTTGCTGCTGGTGGTAAGAGTGTCTCGCTGCCTCTTGTGCCTGATCAAAGCTTGCGCCATATGCTTGTGTCGGTGCCTGTTGCTGTTGTTGTTGTTGCTGCTGCTGACTCACGTTGCTATAGCCTTGCATAGGCTGTTGAGGAAAGTATTGCCCTTGTGGCATTTGTCCTGTTGGTGTGGTCCAAGCACCAGGAACCTGCATATATGGTGTCGACACCTGCTGCGGGAAATATTGCTGCTGCTGTTGGTACATTGAGTGCATCTGGTTTGGTGTGGAGTAACCCATGACAGATGCGCCGGATGGTGTGGCGGGACCTGTGGGCAGGCCCATGACGCTGGGGGCACCCATTACACTAGGCGTACCCATCACACTTGGTGCTGCCATGCCGCTTGGCGTACCCATCATGCTTGGGGCATACGTACTTTGCGCCATGGCATACTGCTGTTGCATTTGCTGTTGCATATGTTGTTGCATCATCATTTGCTGACGCTGTTGGGCTTCCATGATTTGTCGTTGCTGGTTCTGCAGGGTCCGCCTATCAATCTCGACTTGCATAGTTGCCGAGTAACTGTTGCGATTGATTTTTGATGCGGCCCTCTCCTTTTCGCGGTTGTCAATGAGCCCGGTCAACCCTGTAGGGGGCTCCTGTTGTTGCGACTTCTTGGAATTTTGCGAGAGGTCAAGAAGGGGCGTGTTTGTCATTCGCGCCACCTGTTCTTGTTCTCGAGCTGACAATGTCGTGGGTCGTTGCTCGAGCAGCGTGTCTACCCCGCAGCTTAGTGGACGACTAGGTGGGCGGACCATTCCTGAGGACTCGTACGGAGATCGCTGAATTTGGCTCCAATCCCCGGAAGGTGTGCGAACAAAAGGTGGAGGCGTGTGCGACTTGCTCCTCCCGTGCCCATACATCTTAGGCTGCTGCATGGACGCGCGGTGCATTACCCAATCCTGAGGATCCAACTTTTGTTTGTCTGACTGATGGGTTGGGGGCGCGGCTGGTTGCCAGGGCACCTGCCGTGTATCCTGAATCTTCGAGGAGTCGGAGCCACTGCGCACATGCAAAGGCAAGTGAGGCGAACTACCTGCAGAAATGTATGAAGTCCTCCTGTGCTCGTTTGGAATTGTCACAAGGTTTTCCTTGGATCGGGAGGCACCGCCGTCGTGCAGCCCTTGTGTCATGGTTCCGCTAGTACCCGGGCGTTTTTCATTAAAGTCTAAAGCATAGGTTGGCCCAAAGTCAATGTTAGGCATCTCGGTTGGTGCCTGGGCAGGATCTAGTATAGACTTGTATCCATGCGGGTCTTGTTCTACAGGAGCCTTCACGTTGGGGTCTCCAATAATTGTCAACACGCCACTTCTGGGGCGGTCCTCACGTCTTTGAGGAAGTCGGCGTGGGGGAGGCTGTGGTTCCTCTTCAACAATGCTAGCATAGTCCGGTGTTGATGTAGATGCCGCATCATCTTCGTAACGACTGCTTGATGCGCTGGGCCGGCGGGCCAAAGTTGCCTGAGCCATGTTGAGAGCATCGAGTGCTTCGAGGTCGATTACGTCGTGTTGTAAACTGTCGAGTCTTGAGCTATTGGTCGACAGAGTGTCATCCTCTTGCGAGGCGAGGGGAGACGGACCTGGCAGTGGCTTGCGTGTGATGCTGCCATTTTCCGGGTGTGGGCGGAAAGGAAGCTCTTGGCTTTGTGGCTGCTGCGGTAACTCACTATGCTCTGGGACAGGTGGGGCGACTGGCTGGTAGGTATTTGGAGGATCGACAAACTCCGAATGCTCAACATAAGGCGATGCAGGAATGGTGGACAAACGGTTGATCGAGTTTTGGTTTGTTGGAGGTGGTCTTGAGGTGACGTCGAGAGACATCATCTGCCCTTGGTCAGCGTAATCGCCGCTTCGCCTGCTTTGAATGCTCTCCTGGCTTCTCCAAGCTGCGACACCGCTGGAATAAGCCAAGCCGGGTTGCAATGGTGCATGCACGGCATCAGCCATTTGCTGAAGTGTAGCCGAGTCAACAGCTGGGTTCGGCTTTGCCATGGGAATGTTGGGCCGGACGGGTGGCTTCTGGTTGGCAGCATGCTCCTGGGTTGGGGGTAGATCGACGTTGCCCTGGGGCGGAGCGGCCAAGTCTGCAGGAGGCGGCGGCAGATCACGTGGTTCTCTCGAAGGACTTTCATCATAGTCTGAACTGTCATATGGCTGTACAGCCCCGTCTTGTGGAGTCACGTTGAATATGCGATGTTCGGGGGGCGTTGGCGGGTTCTCGTCTTCAATCGATGCTTGATCGGGTACAAACCTTGATGATTTCGTTTGGCTGTGACCATTGACTTGCTCGGATACGGAGCGTTGATGGCGCGGAGTACCAAATGGGTCTGCAGCTGGTGCAGTTCCGACCCGACGCGGTGGTTGCACTTCAAGATCCTGGAGCGTCTTCCTATTAGGTGATGACTGGCGCGTCGATGGGCTAGAGCGGACCGAGCCGTGGTCCTCGAAACGTAAGCCACGAGGAGTGAAACCGGCACGGCCCACGGTGTTTCTGCGGCTAGCTCGATTGTAAACGGAACCAGCGTCAGAACCCAAAGTGTTCATGCGAGTCGAGGTAAGATCCTTCAGCTGTTTTCTCCACTGACGCTCCGACCATTTGTCGCTGCCTGGTGTGTTGATCAAGCCCACGACATCCCACATTTCCAAGTATCCGTATCGTCGATCTGACGGCATGGCAAACATCAAGCCTCGAGTGTCAAGAACATCGGCAATTAGCTTCTTGGGCCGTCCGTACAAAGCGAACGTGTCAAAAACGGGGAAGAGAAACTGAAGCATGATTTCGAAGCCTGAAATGGCGGGCCGCGTTTCTGGCAAAACAAAAACAAATCCTTCGGTTGTGCTCTCTGGGTTCGAGTGAACAGTAATCTTGCCCTCAATCTTGACCAGGGTGGACTGGTCAATGAGCGGTTTCGATTGCGGATAAATGGCATAGCACGAGTATGCATCCTTGACCGTGGCAATGGCCTTTGTTCTCTTGGTGACTTTTTTGGTGTCGTAGAACTTGATGTCGCCTTTCAGAACCGGTGGTCGCTCGTAAGAACTGCCCTTCTTGTGCATCTTCTGCAGCTTCATCCACTCCTTTTCGTCCGGTGGAGATACGACGCACCAGCAGCGACGCCAAGGAGTGCCAGCTCCGAAGCGAACGCGGACCCAGTCTTCGTACTTTGCGCACTGTCGATCTAGTATGACACGGATGTTGTTGAGTGACTTGCCCTTGCCTGCAATCAATGCGCCTGTGTATGCCTCGGAGAGAGTGGTGTGTTCGAACATGGCCAGGCGAATACCAGCAGTCCATTGCGTTAGGGCGTGGTACGAGTCGAAATGGAAGAGGTACTTGTTGCTGGCAGCGGTTGACACACTGAGGATGTTGTCGAGCTTCTTGCCATCCTTGAGCGTCATGGAGGGAATCTAGCTGGGTTAGTGATGGCCTGCATGGCGGGGTCAGGTAGGGACTCCATTACCATGTGAATCGCGGCGTCGGTAAGGTTAATAAACGTGGGTATCACCTCAGCCTCGCCGCCTGCTTGATCGAGCGCACTCGCATCCCACAGCGAAAGAATGGTGCCCACAAGTTGGACAAAGTACTCTTGCCACTTTCGGTCTGGAGGGGGACGGCCTCCTACATGCTGTCAGTATCACAGGCCAAGTATGCGTGACATGGTTGATCGACGTACGAGAATCGGTGTCATGAAACTTGAGAAAGTAGCCTTCCTGGTACAGCTTGTTGGAATGACTGTTGAGAAACATGAAGATGCGCTGTAGCTCAGGTAACGTGTCCTGGCTCACCTCCATGACAGGTGGCTGGTATGTCTGAATCATGGACATGGGGCGTACAGAGGCTCGCGAGTCGCTGCGCTCGCGCCCGGCGGTTCGAGAAGGCGGGCGCTCGTTGTTGTAACTTTCGAGGGCGGTTGCGGAGTGGGTGAGATTTGGCGAGGCTCCTTGCTGTCTCATGGCAGGCGAAGGTGGAGCAGCGGGGGACGTGGAGCCTGGAGAAGGACCAGCAGAGGGCGGGTTTTTGTGCAGAGTATTTGGTAGGCCACCCCATTGTGACATGAAAGAGAGGACTGTAGGGGACGAGCGGGGCGCAGCGTTAGCAACTGTTTGTTCCAAAGGCGACGACGGGGGGCATGATGGAGCGCAGGGAAAGGGCTGCAGCGGGGCGCAATATTTACCTCTCTTGGGTCGACCCATGGCAGCGACGGACGAGAGGGTCTAGGGAGGCGAGGGAGAGGGACGGGACGGATCGCGGATGAAGAATGCAGGTGCTCTGGAGCAGCGCGTGCGGTATCGATGGTACTGGACCAGTCGCGCCAGCCACAGAGGACACGGCTCGCTCAAGGGGCGTCGACAGCAGGCACAGAGGCGATCCGGGGGGGAACGAGCGACGGGAGGAGTGAGGGGATGCGGGAGACAAAAAGGATGGGGAGGAGAGATTATTGGGGCTAGAGGGAGTAAATAGGCGGTAGATGTAGTATGTAGTGCATAGCGGAGCAGCGCGGTCGTGTTAGACTTGTGGAGGAATTTCTGGGCGCATGGCAGGGATGGCGCAGGCTATGACGCGGAAGGGTTCAAACGATCGGCGAAAGAGTAGGCCGTCGTGTTCAACATGGACCCAATGCGGCGCCATCAAAGGTATGCCATCATGGCCGCCTGCACACGACGACATTCCCATGGTCCTGCCGGCTCGACTCTCTCCAGAGCCTCTTGAGCGAGCAACACCTTGGACGGGCGCGCTTGGCGGCGACGGGTTGGCAGCCTCCTAATGCAGCGCTTGGTCCGAGGACGACAGTGGTCACAGCACGCTTATTCATTGGTCTAGAGCCGTATTGAAGCGCATTCGGACGCGCGTGCGAGACTAAAAAGGCCGCTGCCCACTTGTGCTCGGGCAGTCGGCACCTATGTCATCTTGTACGGTGGTGATGGTGACTATGATGATGTTGTGGCAGTGCAGCTCGGCCTTGGTGCGGCCTTGGGAATGTTTGGTTTTTTTGCGCTGCAGGTGCACGCAACGCACTGCAAGAGGGGAATCCGGGGTATTATTTTCCCTTTCCCTGGCCCAGCACCCCCCCCGTCCGACCCGACCGTCGGCCCAGTCCTGCTAGGTACTTACTACTACTATTGCTACTAAACTACTACTGTAAGTACATGCACACATACACACACACACACAGCAATACTATGCAAGCATCTGCAACATGCTTACTACCCATGCAGCGCCGCACAGCCCAGCCGCACGGCACGTGACCTGTCACGTCTGCTGGCGACCCGTGGCTTTGGTCCTGCCCGGCGGCTGATAACGCGTCGGGTGATCCACTTTTGCCATAACGCGTCTGTTCACTCTTTGCTACCAAACCCTTTCCACTTCTGCCATCGCTTCTGTCTCCAACTAATTAGCTTGACGCCTCGTTTCTTTGTCATAGCACGTCTTGCGCGCCTTGGATCTGCACACTACAGCTAGTCCAGTCGCCGCCTTACCACCGCTTATCAGGCCCATACCTTTTCTGCCTGCACTGCACTCCCGTCGCAACCCCCACCATGGCCCGCAAACGCAAAGCTATCCATAGCCATGCAGCCCACCCACATGGCTCAAAAGCCCCCGTCTCCAAGAAGCAAAAAGTCGATTGGTCTGCCATTGACGACTTCAAAGGCTTCACCATCTCGGCTGCCAACACCAAGCCCCACAACAAGTCCGTCGCTACCAAGAACAACAAGACAGGCGCAGAGGTCAAAATCCCAAAGTATCCGGGCCAAGATGCGCCCTTGGATGCAAACGTCGTACAGGAGAATCCTTTTCCCGAAGCTAAGCTCAGCACCGTTCACGTCAAAATATCGCCTGCCCTGCACTGGGAGAGTACCTCTCGCTACCGAAAGTTCACCATCAACAGCGAAGAGTTCCAAGTAAATCAACTAGTCTTTGTCAAAAACAGTGAAGATCCAGATGGCGCCAATCCGCCTAGTGCTGTCGAGGGCTGGCTAGCCAAAATCTTGGAGATTCGCGCTGGCGATTCCTCTCACGTATTCCTCAGAGTCTTTTGGGCATATCGGCCAGAAGACCTGCCCGGCGGCCGCCAGCCGCACCATGGCGCCAGCGAGATCATTGTCAGCAATCACATGGACATTATCGAACCTCTGACTGTCCAGTCTCTTGCCGACGTGGTCCACTGGAACGACGATCCAGACAGCCTACCGCTGCCGGCAGACCAGTTGTTCTTCAGGCAGAGCTACGACGTCACCAAGAAGAGCAATCCATTCAGCGTAGGCCCATTCTTGCTTGTATGCGTCACCGTTTACTGACAGCCTGGCAGGCCCTTAACAAGTATTGCATCGACAAGCAACCAATCAACCCTGACGAGCTTCTGGTCCAGTGTCCGCATTGCTCAGACTGGCTCCATGCCCATTGTCTTGAGCAGCAGGCGATCCGGGACATACGCGAGAAACACAAGAAGAGGGGCCGGCCCAGTAAGCGTGCAAAAGCAAGCAGTGATGACCTGGCTGCAAAGCCTAGCCTTGACGCTAAACTAAGCGCCTCCGAAGCTGGCAAGACTCGCCTTACAATTACAGAAAACCTCACATCCGAGGACGATACAAGGCAGTGGGACGTTGACATCTCATGTTTGGTGTGCGGCAAGGTCATTGAGTCGGCCGAAGATGCATTGAAGCCCGCTGATTCTAGCGCCTCACCTAATATAGCCGAAGACACCGAAAGCGAAAACGTCACAGTTGCTACCACCGCCAAAGACGACCCTCCACAGGACACGGCAAAGAGCGACCCTGATGCTGCGCCAACAGACCCAGCCAAGACGAATGGTGAGACCGTCAAATCATCCTCTCCCGTCTAAGCCAACTAAGTATGTTCTTTGCAGCGCCAAAAAAGAGAGGCTGTCCACCCGGATCTACCAACCAAAAGAGGAAACGTACATCTGCGAGCCCGGAGAGCAAGGCTGTTCTGCCCGAAGCTAAATGCCTCAAGATGATGACTGCAGAGGAAGAAGAAAACAGCGCGCCGGATGCTGCTGTTTCCGCTACTACAATACAGGACTCACCAAAGCCGATAACGACAACGATAACCGCTACCACTACCACCACGACGCCAACGTTAGTGCCTCCCGATGCAACCAAGACAACTACCCCCGAGCCAGCGCCCATGCCCGAATCCGTATTTCAATCTGGTGTACTCTCTGTCAAACAATTGCTTTGGGGATCATAAACTCGGCTAAGATAACGTACCTTTTTCTTTTCTTCTTCTTCAACCAACCCCCACCTTTTTTTTTTGTACTTAATACTACCTCTCGTGGTAAAAAGGACCCATTCCACTTTCTAACCCCCGCCCTCTTTTTTTTCCGGACGTTGCTGGGATAGTTTCTTTATCGAAAATGCATCTCGATTTAAGCGTGGGAGGAACATTTGAGCTCTTTTTTTTCTCTCTCTTTGATTTTGGTTTGTGGGGAAATGATGATATTTGAAGGTAGGGCAAATAGAATACGACATAGGTAGTGTACTAGAATTGGGTACAGGGTCTGCCCTTTTTTTTCATGAAGTACCAACATCATTCTCTCTCACTCCCACAAATCCTCTTGTTCTCAATTTTGTCTTGTCGCCCAAAATCGTCACATTCTCTTTTTTCACTTGCCCACTAAAAGCCCATATTTGACTTCCAATCACACCAGCTGCACAAACAGCAAACAAACGAACAAACGAACAAAAGATAAGAACTTGCATATAATTCATTTATTCCATTTTCCCCATTCCCCCCCACCCCTCATTTTCTTCTCTCTTTCAGAGAAAGAACGAAAAAAAAATAAAATAAAATAAAACAAAGGGTATAGTTATCCACCTAATATTCCGACTACGGAAGATGAACAAGGAAAAGAGAGAAGAAGGAAGACCTACAGAAAACAAAAAAGGTAGAGTCCCAAAAGTAGAAGAACGAAAAAAAAAAAAACGCCATCGCTGAATGCTGTTTATGCCTAACAGGGTAATTCCCATTTGTCCGCTTTCGTTTTCCTGGGTTCCAGAAGGATTCCCTGGTAGTAATCCCTCTCCCACCCAAATATCCTTGCATGTTCTTTTTTTTTTTTCGTTGACCGGGGAGAAAAGCAATTGTCCACTTGCTCCTTGGTCCTTCCTTCAAAGTTGATAGAGAAGGGTAATAGTAGTGGTAGTAAACCGATAATGCCCCCCCCCCGAGATGAAATAAACACCATTAAAATGCATCTTTTTCTCCTTTTACCTCTCATCACACACGCCACCACCACCACTATAGTTCACTTCTCTTTCATCCACGCACACCCATCATGACTTCGCCTGGCTTAATGTCCCTTTCCACACGCACACACACGCAGAGAGACACGGTTCGTTCATACGTCATTAAAATCACACCAATTTCTCTCTCATTTTTACCATTTCCGCTCAACAGGCAATTTGCCTTTTCCAAGCTTCATCTTGACAACGAGACGCGGTCTATCGCTTCCTCCGCGCTCCACACTCACCAGACCGCTCTTGGGCGTGCCGTTGCCGCCATTCACGCGCACACCCGTTTCGAGGCTCTGGCGCTTGAGGGGTCGGTCGTCGTCATTGCCGCCGTTGCCGAGGATAAGCTTGCGTTTCTTAGTGTCGCCTGTGAAGCGTGAGAGAAGGCGGGGTGCGAGTCGCAGCTTGACGATTTTGCTTCGCTTTTGCTTGATGACGGGTCGGGCAACGGGTCCGGGTACGGATGCAGTGGGACGAGGTGGCGGGACGACAGTCGGTCGAGGCGAAGGTGCGGCGCTGGGGCGTGGCGAAGGAGCTGCGCTTGATGGCCTGGAAGTTACAGTTGACCCATTGGCAGTCTTCGTCTTGATCTTGAGTTTGGGGGCGGGTAGGGGAACGGGCGATGACATGGTTGGTGTAGATACAGACTTTGGTATCTTGACGGATCCCATCGCCGGCTTTGATTGAACAGAAGCTGACTTGGGAGCTGGTACCGAGACTCTTGGTGGTGGGACTGGGGTTTTGGTAACTATCTTCGGTGCTGGTACTGAAGCTGCAGTTGGAGCGGTAGCCGGTACTGGTGCTGGGGTTCCTACTTTGGGTGTTGCTGCTGGAGTAGACACCTTCTTCATAGGTTGCTGCATCAATGGTATCTCTGGTGTCGAGGCTCGAGAATCTGGCTGAGCTGATGTAGGAACAGAAGCGTCGGCAGGCTGTGATGGCTGAGACTGCGACTGCGGTTGTGACTGTGACTCTGACTGCGACTGCGACTGCGGCTGAGACTGCGATTGCGATTGCGGCTGAGACTGTGGCTTCGACTGTGGCTGCGGCTGCGGCGCTGGAGATGGCCTAGTGGACTGAGAAATAGGGGATGGCGAATAATGAACAGTGGGCGAAAACACCATCGATTGACTTCGTGACTTGGCATGCGTAGAGTCGACAGCTGTCGGTGGAGACGATGCACTCTTGTTCTTTAGCAGCCCGCCAATCTTGAGTGACAACTTCGGCTGGCCGGTTGGCTTCACTACCGGTGCCACTGGCTCTCGCAAAGGAAGAGGTGGAGCGACCGGAAGAACTGGAGCAGGGGCTGGAGTAGGGGCAACCAAAGGCCGCTTGGGAGTCGTCCTATATTTCTTGGTCTGCTTGAAGCGCAGCACTGCTTTTCCGAGGTGCTCTACAGTCCAGTAACGTGGAAGGGCCAACTTGACTGGTAGCTTGTTGACTTTTTGGTTGTCAAAGATCATATCGCAGATGTCCAAGATCTCAGACATGTCGTTAACAGACAAAGTTGTGGACTTGAGTGCCTCCTCAAGTACCGACCGCAAAGTTTGGTGTCCTTGCAGGTCGCTCTTCAAACCTCTCAAAGCTCCGTTAAGGTTCTGACGAGCTAGGGCGGATGCGCGTTCGGCGTTGCTTGCTTCGTTCTCAACCACAAGCGTGTCTGCAGCAGTTTCGGCAGCCTTTTCTGGTGCCCAAACATCACCGGTAGCCACCTGACCGATGGCAAGACCAAGAATACGTAGCATCTGCTTCCTGAAGTACGGTGAAGGGTCAGACCGAATCTCATGTACCAGAAACCTCATGACCGAATCTTTGCGGAACATGCCCAGTCGAATGAGACACTCCCACGCTTTTAAGCGCACATTGTCTGCATTCCCTAGTTGTGCGTACTGCAGAAACTCAGTAGGCTTGAAGGGAGTCACTCGGCTTGTAACCAGCTTGAACGCACAGTCAAGTGCAGTGGTCGTGTACACATTCTGGTACGTAGGGATCCATTCGTCAAGCCTCTGATGTCGAGTGAGCTCTCCGATAGCCTTGTTGGTAAAGTCCTGTTCCTGCGCCCATTCTTCGTGGCTGAGCTCGGAACTTATATTCGTCTTGGTCAAGGTTTCCGCCAGACATCGCATCAGTGTGGCAATGTAATGGTCGTCGCTGTAATCATTTCCGCGGTTGTCGTTGTATCGCACGAGATCCAGTAGGAAACGCTTAGCCTCTAGTGGTGATCTGCCGTCCTCGCCCTTGATCTTAGCAATGGCTCTAGGAATAGCGCATTGTATCAGATACATGCTGCGGTCAGAAAAGTCATTTGATCGAGTCATTGGCGAGTTTGGCAAGCAGAACAGCTCACGAAAGGCCTTCTTCAGGTGGAAGAGTCCAACCCACTGAGTCCGCTTCAGCGCGCTCTGGGCGAGGACCATGGCAGCCATAGTCCGTATACCGTGGAAATATCGATTGTCCATCAACGTCTTGACCAGGAAAGTGGAGATCAACGGGTGACCCTCTTTGTTGGCAAGAAACTGTATCGACTCTGCTTGTGCAACAACATCCTTGTCCTGCTGCAACTGTGAGACGTACATGTACGACGGCATGTCTTCAATATTGGTCCGACATATCCATTCAAAGTCTGCATCGATGCGGATCCACTCGTACGCTTCACCTTCCTGCTTAGCTTCGTCTTCCGGTGGCCAATCGTCGAGTCGCCACTCTTCGTGTTCTTGGGGTGAAGTAAAAAGGTCTCCTAACATGTAAAATGTGACATCTTCTTGTGTTTCGCCGGAAGCATCGAGACCAGCGGCGGCGGCCATACGCTCCTTGTTTAATCGATTCCTTTTTAATCGTTTGTATTTGGTATTGTACGGAATCTCAACTTTGACATTATTCGAGTTGATGTCGACAATATGCTCATAGGGGGTACCGTCGGCTTCGTGGATCCTGATAGTCATGGGGCCTACAAATGTGGGATATCCTGTTGCTGACCGCAAGTCTCGAGATTTCTGTTTCGCTTCGCGCATAAAGTCATCTGCCGCAAGACCGTTCTCAATTGTTGTGATGGACGAGTCGGCCTGGAGCTGTTTGATGGTAAGCTGAACCACTTGCTTCTTCTTGTTGAATGAAGGAACGCAGTGAAATGTGGGGCATCCTGCGCCTATAATCCACTGTTGAAAGAAAGATTCAAGCTTCTGGTGGCCTACTTTCTCGCAAATATCGAGAAAGTCATCAGTAGTAACTGCGCCGTTGGGATACTTTCCTTGACGAGCATTGAATAACATCCGGTACAAGCATCTATCAACACCGTTTTTGCCGCTCTGTTTTACCAGGCGGTTATGCAGAATGGAGAGGACCATAAGCGACTTGAGCTCCATGAATTCGGCCTCACGAGGATCCAACTGCATGTGTTCTGCAAGCTGCTGAAGCGATGGGCGCTTGCGGTCCATGTAGATGACCTTATCTACCATCAGCTTTTGCCTGAAGCGCCAGTCATTCCGGCCAAAGAGTTCTTTGAGATACAGTTCAGCCATGAACCACGAGCCACCAACGATAATCCAGTAGTCTTCCAGATTGTGTGCGATAACATCCACGCCTATCCACTGACTGGCTACTGCATGTACCAACACCCTGGTCGTGTGCTCGAGTGGCTCCCAAACGGTTTCCGGGAAGAGCAGGCGCGAGCTGCAGATTGAAAACGAGGCTGTGTGCGCAGTATCGCAATCCAGGTCGTCTACGAATGCGAGTTTGTAGGAGTTCCCAAACGCATAACTCTGGAATCGCTCCGTGAAAGTGTCAAGAGCTCGAGCGAGCATCATGGCGCTGTTCCGGACCTCGTTTTCCTTGCCGGGCAAGCAGAATGCGTGGACCTTGATAGCATTTTCGCCCAAGCGCTCGTCATCCAGGGTATCACGGTATTCAGAGAGGTCGACATGTTCGAAAGGTCCGATGACAAAGCCAATGTGCTGGGGGAGTACAGGGGTCTCGCATGAGAAGCTTGCAGTCTTTCGTGCTGGGTCGGCGGGATCGAGAATCTATACATGTTAGTAAAACATACACAATAATCAGGAAAGGCACTCACATCGTCCGTCAGCGTGCCGGAGCAGATGACTTGCATTTCCATGGCTTTCTCTTCCTCGGATAGATCAGCTTGCTCATCGTCTACATCCAACATGACACTATCGGCTTTGTCGACTCCATCGGCTAGTGGTCCATTGGGGTTCGCATTCGGTGGCGAGGGTTTGCTAAGAGCGTCGCCCAGCGTGCGCGGATAGCGGATGGAGACTTCGAAGATACACCTCGTCTCGCCGTCGTCTATGCACGGAAACAGGCAAGATGCGGTACCAGGGAAAGATGAGTTGCGCGTATATGCATGCGGGAAGCGAGCGTCTCCATCCTCGACACCGACAAAGTGAAGCGCGTCCCGGAAATCGTCTAGTTCGTATTCAATCTCGAGCTTCAACGGCGCGTAAAAGGTGCCTGGTGCGTCATCCGTCATGCCAGCCTCTGAGGGCTTCACTTCCCGAATCCTGACCTTGTCAGGCACTGTGATGACCAGCTCATCCTCGGCGCCCGAGGTGTGTCGCGCTATGCGCTGCTTGACGAAGTGATACTGCTCGAGGCCGGTGCCGGGGTAGAGGGTTAGGCGCTGGTGCAGATTCGAATAGCTAAAGGCGGCCTTCTCGCCTTGGATACGGATGCTCGTGGGACGGAGTTGGCGGCAATTGAGGGTGATGTCTCGCAGCTGGGCCTGGTCGGGCTGAATGTCGAGCGTAGTCAGGCCCTTGACCCGGCGCGGTGCAAAGCTGAAGTCGAGCTCGAGCTGCTGCTTCAGCAGGGTAAAAGAGTCGCCCGACGAGGCGTCGTCCATTGCATCGGCGAGCTCGAGGGGCGCCATCATGGGCGGCGCAGGCAGTCCTGGCTCCCGGGTGTGCGGCCGGGCTGTGGAGGGGCGGAAGGCGAGGGGCGCTGGGTCGAGAGCTGCAGTCGTTGTTGAGGGCACGCCTGGCTCTGCCATGCGCGTTGTTCGGGAGTATCGCGACGATGGACGCTAACATACGTGGTCCGTGCACCCACACTAGGCTGGCGCGCTTTCACTTTCCCCGACGTCACAGCTCCACCCAACACCAGTTCACGTGTTGGGATATGCTCGTATGCAAACCATTTTCACTTCAGCGCGCTCAGCTTAATCGCCAAGGCTTCTGGTGACGATTTTAGAACTAGCACTATCATGAATACTTCTTAGGCCTCATCACACCACCATGTCCGTATGGCGAAAAGCCCTGTATGAACAAATAACAAAATATCATGCCTATATTGAAACAGATCTCCTTTTCAACCCCCAAAATCACGAGAACACCCTCTTCCGCATTCCTACCTCCAACCCTAATGGCTTCCTCAAGAAGCCCTCTCTGGTCTCCATCTCCTCCTGCCTAAGCTCAAACTCATACCGCCTAAACACCGTCGCAACAATCAATGCCAGCTCCATCTCAGCCACATTCCGGCCCACACAAGCCCGTGGACCATAGCTGAATGGAATGAACGCCGCCTTTTGCTTCTCTGTGAGGCTCTCCCAGCGTTCGGGACGGAACGTGTCTGCGTCGGGCCCCCAGATCTCAGCAGAGTGGTGGATCGTATAGGCTGGAACGGAGAGAACAGTGCCTTGAGGGAAGTGGTGACCGAGAATCGTGATGCCAGGACCAGGGGGAATGACGCGTGGAAGTCCGAGGGACGAGGTGCTGTGGATGCGCATCGCCTCTTTAATCACAGCGTCCAAGTATGGAAGGTCCTTGACTTGAGCATAGGAGGGGACGGCATCTGGGTCTGGAAGCGCAGTGTCCAACTCCTTCTGTAGCTTTTTGACAACTTCAGGGTGTTTGAGGCAGTGGTAGAGGAGGGCGCACGAAGTGTTTGAAGTAGTGTCTGAGCCAGCAATTAGTTGGGTAAGGGCTTCTGCTGTAAGCTCTTCACGGCCGAGTTTGTTGCCGGTTTCGTCACGGCCCTCCATCAAGCGGGCGAGTAGGTCCACACGGTCGGATGGCTTTTCAAGACGAGCGTTGACACGAGCGATGGCGATACCAGCAAGATTCTCGATGGCCTTCATGCCTTGGCTGAAGAATGGGTCTGGGAAGTACTTTGCGTAGGGCTTGATCGCAGGGAAGATTCCGACAGTTCTACATCGTGTTAGTCCATCATTTCAGCCGGAAGTTGCAGGCAGTAATTCGACATACCCGCTGACCTCTCCCCTTCGGTTCAACACCTCGATAGCCGGTGCATATGTAATTTTTCCATCCTTGGCGACCTCAGCCTCATCTCTTCCCTTCTTCAGCATGCCAAAAGGCTCCCCAAAAGCCAAGTCACCGATGACATCAAAGGCGAGGTAGTTGAACCAGTGCAGCGCATCCATGTTATACCATCCTCCGTTGTTCTTGGCACCATCAGCTCGGCGGTCCCACTGGTTTTGCAATTCTTGCAAGTTGTGGTGGATGTACTGTTCGAACTGCAGCACACTTTTGGCAGAAAAGGTGTGGGCGACCGTCTTCCTCTTCCTGGTGTGCTCGGCACGATCCCGAGTGTTGAACAGGCCTCTCCGAATGGATACGAAAGCGTCATAGTACTCGCTCTTCAAGAAGCCGTTGCCATGGCCGTAGACTTGGGTAATGGCGTCTGCATCAGCAATGCTGACATGGTGAGGCTGAATACGGACAAGCTTTCCAAGCTTTTTGTGTGCTTCGTGAACGGCAAGGAAGCGCTTCCCGCGGCGGCACTGGTAAAGCAACCAGAGATTGGTCCAAGCGGCTGGGAATGGCGCCGGTATGTCGCGGATCTGCCAGTTACGAAGATATGGGAGAAGATAGAAGAGAACCGGCAGAAGAAGGATGGTATAAGGTGTCAGGAGAAGTGATGTAAGAAACATTGTTGCCAACGAGAGCGAGGATTTGCAGGCAGTGTGAGGTCAAGGGACAGCCGTCTGCCAGTCGTTTATAGCACTGAGCTTGGGTGTCTTCACGCGTAGGGCAGTGTTGTGCAAACAAAGGAATCCCACTGCTCTCCTTGCTTGTTTCTGGACGTAGACCAGGCCATCCTTATACTTTCCTGCCCGTGCCTCTCCATGGGCGTAATCTCCATGTCAAGCAGGCTTACGGCGCTCCACCGTTAACAAAGTTCCGATATCGACACGCGACGGGTAAACGTCAGACCTCAAATCAGCGGCAATACTCCTGTAAACTTTTGTCGGCAGCCAATCACACGGCTTCAGTATCCTCTTTACATAGCCGTGTCGTGGCTCCGAACGACCTGTCAATCCGGCTGCAAGACCCCGCCTTGCACTAGTGCGCCGAGTATTCCCCGCGTTTCTGTCCTCTTCATCGGGAGACGTTGCCAACGGCCAGCCAGCAGCCGATCGCACGTGCTGCTGGCCGAGAAATATGCGCAGTGAGACCCACAGGGTGAACGCACTGTGTGAAAGCATTTGGGAATGACGTGCAGCCTGCTGTGGCACAAGACTACCGACCTCTCCGCCGCATGTATGAGTTGTGCGACCCCAGAATCGGCCATATTGCGGAAATCGAGCCGTGCGTGTGCCGAAACGAAGCGTAGTATGTAAAATCGGCGCATGCAAAGTCAGCTCAGCAGCGTCATCAAGTGGGCTGACCAGGTGCAACGTTTCGAATAGGGTATTAAGTACATTAAAGAAACCAAGACTATCTAGATGTGTGAAAACGTCTTCCAACTACAAAAGTTACTCGAGTTAGTCAGACAGGTATTACTAGGCCTACCCGTGCTACTAACAGCAAAACGCCTAGTGGTATCATGCCTGTCAATCATCCATCCATCCATCCATCCATCCATGCCCCTCTTTACTATAACCCGTGTGTATTCTCCAACAGAATGTATACTTTAGTTATTCTCTTCGTCATCCGAGAAAAAGTTCAGGATGGCCTTGACCGCCATAGGGCCCAGCCCATGAGGCGGATAGCAGATATAACTCGGGTCGTCCGTCGCGCCCAGCTTCTCGCGAAATTCAGTCTTGTTGGTGAGCTTGAGCTCAGTTGCAATCGCGTGGTATGCACGACTGAGGACCTTGACACGTGTGCCCTTGACATTGTGTCCAGGACTGAACTTGGAGCTGGCACCACCGCCAAAGGTGACGCTTGTAGCGCCGCTTGCTGCGACCTGCTTGAGAGCATGTGTGACGACCTGCTCAATGGAGCCACTGGGTGCGCCGGGGAAGTCTAGCGAATACTTGACTTGCCAACCGTGGTCCGGCGACAACTGGGCCATGGTGACAAAAGCAACAATGGTACCATCCGGTGCAGTTGCAACGTGATACTGGCGATGCTCCTCGTCTTGCCATGGGTGAATGTTGGTCAAATGAACCTGCTTGCCCTTGCGGTTCTTCAGCCAATCTTCCACACGAGCATCCACCCTTTGCTTGACATCTGGTGGTGGCGGCGAGCCGAGAGCATAGTCGGTAATCTTAACACCCTCTTTCTCAGCATGGCGAATCTTGCGCTGCACATCCGAGTCCTTGTCAGCAGGGTTGTGCGCAGGGTCAACACGCTGCTCTCCAGTGACGGAGAATGTGCGCCAGTTGAACTTTGTTGCCAGGACTTCCTCGGCTGCCGATCCTACAAGCAGCCAGATCGGCTTAAGGTTGCGCTCCTTCTTGATATATCGGAGATAGCCAGACATAGTCTTGAGGTACTGAGACTCGTGGCATAGAGGGTCGCCAACAGTGATAGCGAAGCCATCCTGAGGCACAAAACCAACAGCAGCACCGGTATTTTCGTCTCGCCAAATCTCAGTACGGGGCTCCAACCATGATGTATTTGTGGCATCTCCGTAGTTGGCAATGAGCTTCTCAATGGGCTGAAAGTCTATCTTTGCAACAGCGCGGTCTTGTCCCTCCCACGGAGGGTGCATCGTGCTCGCCTCTGGGTGACGTAGTTGTTTGACGACTGGCTTCTCTGGCAAACTCTTTGGATCGCGAGGGAACATGGAAGCATGCCGAATATTTCCGAGGCCCATCATCAACATGAGGATACGCTCGAGACCAATACCACCACCGCCGTGTGGCGGTGCACCCCATTGGAAGGCCTGGATATACTCTTCCATGGAACTGGGGTCAATCTTGAGCTTGCGCATCTTATCCAGCAGCATATCAGCGTCATGGATACGCTGGCCACCGCTGAGAATTTCTTGGCCTCGACAGAAGATGTCGAATGAATTCGTGAGTTTGGGGTTATTTGGATCGTTCATGGCATAAAAGGGTCGAGCGTTTGCTGGGAACTTGTCCAAGACGTAGTAGTCGGTGCCTAGCTTCTGCTTGATAACACGGCCAAGCTGGACCTCGTCCCTGGTTCCCAAGTCTTCGTTCTCGTCAAGCTCGTTTCCATCGTCGTCCCTCCACCCAGACTCATTGAGCATACGAACACCTTCAGCGAATGGGATGATGGGAGTTTCATCAAGCCAGACCAAGTCCTCGTGTGGGAAGTGCCTTTTGATGACCTCAATCTCAGGGCGATACTGCTCATATATACCCTTGAAGATGGCCTTGAACGTGCGATCCAGCACACGCAAGACTTCGTGGTAGTGTTCGTCAATCTGCATCTCGAGATCGAGACCGGTGTACTCAGTCAAGTGTCGGTAGGTGTTACTGTTCTCAGCACGGAACACGGCGCCAATCTCGTACACCCTGCCGAAATCCGCAGAGATGGCCATTTGCTTGGCCAATTGAGGGCTCTGGGCCAGGAAGGCGCCACGGCCGAAATAGTCAATCTTGAAGACACTGGCGCCAGACTCTGTTGCACCACCTTGCAGCTTGGGGGTGTGAATTTCGATGAAGCCCTCCGAGTCCAAATGCTCACGGAACAGCCTGCAAATTCCAGACTGAATGCGGAAGATGCCCTGCGATGCAGTTGTCCTTAGGTCGATTACGCGGTTGTTGAGACGAGTGCGGTCTGCAATCTTGACTCGGGTATGTCCCTCCTTGCGTTCCTCGCCAGCCAGCTTGGCGGCTTCAGCGTCAACCTCAGCCTGGGATACTTCGGCTTCATTGACATTGAAGGGAAGGTGGTCTGTAACTGAGGCTTCAACATGCAAATCGTGGACCGAAACCTCGACGTCGTGGATGGTGGCACCAAGGACCTCGCCCTGCTTGGCCTTGGGCTCTTGAAGAATGCCCTTGACAATGACGACCGTCTCCGCGTCGAGATGCTCTGCCCAGTACAGCATGTATTTGGAAATGTCGGCGTGCTCCATAAGAACGCCCTGGATGGTAGCGAGCTGCTGGCGAAACATAAGGAAGACAAACTTGGAGCTCATCTTCCTTAGGTGGTGAATACGGGCCCGGAAGACGACTTCCTTGCCAACATCCTTTGCGGAGAATTCCTGAATCTTGTGGCGAGGCTCGTGTTTCCATTCGCCGGCGTAGCTGTTGGGAGGGATGACACCATACTTGGCCCTCTGCTCGGGCGTGAGCTCAGCAAGAGCCTGTTGCTCCATCTCCTTCCTACGGCGCTCGAGCTCCATCTCCTTTTCGCGGTTCTGCTTGTTGCGCTCTTCTTGCTGGGCCTGTTTCTCATGCTTGCGCAGCTGTCCGCGGGACATGGGCTCGCCATCGCGGTTGAGGGGCGTGTCGTCGTCACTGGAGTCGTTTCCAAGGTGGAGCTTCTCCTTGACGGCGCGCATGGGGCTGCTGGCGGAGAGGGAGCTTGAGCGCTGGTGGGAGCTTGCCTTTGCGGACGAGCGGTTGGGGCTATCTGTGCGGCGGTGGAGGATGCCGCTCAGGGAGCCACGGTGCTGGCCATCGAGGCTGCTCCTGCTCTCGGTGGGCGAGGAAGGGTCGTTGCGCTTCAGGTCGGCACTGGCCCGGCCAGTGGGCAGAGTGACGGATGAGCGCGGAGTGCTGGCGGGCGAGCGTGCCCTACCATTGGTGGTGGGCGACTTGACGCCGCTCTTGTCGTCGTCAGAGGCAGAACCGCTATGGCCCGGCTTGAGCTTGTCTAGCGCTTTCTTGAGAGAGCCCATTGTTGCAATGGTGCGAGAGCTGTGCCCGTTGTTGCGTGGTTAGACTACCTAGGCGCAGAGTGGGGCAAGCCAACGCGGGGGAATTGCTTGGAGAGCAGAGAGAGGGCGGGAGGGGCAACCTTGGGCGTTGATGGAGAAAAAAAGAATAACTGAAGTCGAAGAACCACCAGCAGGCGGCAGAGCAGATGCGACGTTCAAGTATAGCAGCTAGCCAGGCCACGGCGTGACGGGCACGGAGGGCGGAGGGTGAATCGGCGTGCGGCTATGACGTGAGAGCGTACGGGCAACAGACTAGGTTCGTCCGGCCCTAGTGCGGCAGAGGCTTAGCAGCGATCCGAGGGAAGGCGCAACCCTTGCGCAAGCGTGACGTAGCCGGCACGCTTCTAGACGGCCAGACCGCACCTCTTGTCTGGCGAGAGTAAGAGTGTCGAGTATCCAGACTTGCACCCACGAGCCCGCGGACTCGAATGGCAGCGACGGCGATGGGCAATGGCAGCAGGAGCACGGAATGGAGAGCTGCTGGCAACAAGACGGGCGACACGGTCGAGTAATAACGCCCGCACGAAAGTCCCAGGCCACCAGTGTCTTCCGCGACTGTCCGCTGCCACTGCTGCCACTGCTGACACATGTTCCCCATGCGTTGATTATGCTTCTCCTTGTGGCCAGGCGTGTGCTGACAAGCATTGCTTCATTGCTTGGAAAACTCTTCGGTCGGGCCTCGACACTCCACTCCAGCCACGCCCCTACGCCGGCGCCAGTCGGATGGGCTGGTTGTATGCATCTGGACCGAAGTAGATATCGTCCAGCAACGCCGTACAGGATGACGAGCGTCAATGTCTGGCTGCACCTTCCGCCGGGTGAAACCGGCCCTAGTGGCCGTGGTTGGTCGCTTCCTCACGCCTCCCTGCTGATGCACTTTGTCGCCCGCCCCATGGCATTCTCTCCCAAGTCCATCCTCCTCACCCAAACACCCGCCAACTTTCAGCCTTCATCTATCCCCTATCATGCACATGGCACAGAAAACCGGTTCCCTGGCCCCGCTGCATCACATGGCAATCGCCAGCGCATACGAGAATCCCGATCAGCCACAGGCTAGCCTACATCGACGATCGTCCTGCTGGAGAACAGGTTCTGCCAGGCACACTGCGTCCCTGGGCATCGCCCTACAACCATGCAATCACCCACAGCTCTGCCGGTACCCGCTCGTCTTCCCCCACCACTACTCTACTCGGCACACGGCTTTGTCGGTAACACGGGCTGCTGCACGCCATGTCGAGCATCAATCATCAATTGCATCTTAGTTGCGAGCCGCTACGATGCATCCGCTAACCCTATAAAAGACAGCCTCCGTACATGTGCCTGCATTCACAGAGCGTATCAATCTAAGTATACCAAGTAGGCTCCGGAATCTCGTCCAACAGTGCAAACCGACCCAACTCCCGATTCTTATATGCGACAGGATCGTGCAGCGTGTGCGTCCTGATATCTCGCCAGAATCGATCCAAGCCCACCTTTTGGCTCGTCGCCTTTGCACCAGTGACCTCAAACACTCCTGAAGTAACGCGGAGGCCAGTGTCGGTTGCGACAACTTTGATGCTTGCCACCCATTCTGCCAGCTCGCCTCGCTCGCGTGTCGTCAGCTTTCCACGTCTGTCCAAATCACCTCCGTAGTTCTGGTAGATGGCATCGACCTCTTGGCCTGCGCGGTCTGCAAGGGTAGAGGCGGCACGGAGATGAGCATGGAAATTGCCATAGCGCTCGAGAATGTAGAATTCATCCGTCGCCTTTTCCTTGTTCTACTCGCGGCATTAGCAACATACATCAGAGTTTGTAGGTACTGGTGTGCTTACGTCGCCACCAAAAGGCCATGCCCGAGTTCCCTTCAAAGTGTACTTAGCAGCGTATTGCTGTGCACCAAGAGCAATGCCAAGATAGAAGTTACTAAAGACAAGCTGGATGGTCGGGAGAAGCAGCGTTGCAAACGGTATCTGCAGCGCGCGTGGGTCGGGTTCCTTCCTCTCAATGTTCCAGCCCAGCGCATCCGCCCACGGCACACGCACGTCAGAGATTTTGATACTGCCAGATTCCGTCAAACGGAGGCCAATATTGTTCCAGTCATGTCCAAATTGGATGCCAGGTTGGTTTGTCTTTGCAAAGGCGAAGATGTGGTTCCCAGTGTTTTCGTAGACACCCTCAAGAACAGTGAGATCAGAAACAACACCACCCGTGTTGAACAACTTGAACCCATTGAAGACAATGTTGTCGCCATCAGATTTAATGGACAAATCACTGTCTCTAGGATTGACGGCGCCGCCAATGAAATAGTTATTCTCGATGATGAGCTTCTGAATGCGATCGGCCTGTTCCGCTGAGCCGACAACGTTTGCTGTGGTCGACCAGAGAAGGTGGTAGCCAAGCAGCATGCCAATTGAGCTACGACAGTTAGTACACATATTCAGACGGATCAAGTCAAACCATACCCATCTGCCTCAGCTACCTTCCGAATCGCTTTGTAACCTTATTCCAAGTCAGTGTCGGTTGCCTGTATCTTAGATACATGAACTTACCAACACTCCAAGGTTGGCCACCACCACCGTACTGCTTTGGGCCAAGAACTTTAAGAAGTCCAGAGTGCTTGAGCAGAGCCACTTCGGCTCGAGGAGACTTGTTTTCTTGGTCTCGCACGACAGCATCAGCAGCAAGAACGTCGGCGACTGCTTGGGCACGTTCAAGCCAGCCCGCTTCATCTTGCGGAATCGACGACCATGTCTTCTCGTACTCGGCATAGACAGTCGGGTCTCTAAAGTTGACGTGTTGCGCGTTACTGGCCTGGCCGTTAGTTCCGTTAGTGGCAACCATTGTTTGCGTCTGAGGTGTCGATACTATCTTCTAGCTACGTGGTATACAATCTCTACATTACTGTACATATCTTTATATGCACATTCTTGCTGACCCGATTTTGGGATCATACCATATCCCAAGTGTATTGCGTGCTACCCTTTCATTTTTTTTCCAGACATATGCGGGGGTATGGTTTGCTCAATGAGCGGGGCATGGTGGTTATCAGAATGGAGGGGTGTAGACAAGGATATCCCACCGAGCCTGTACATGCATCCGGATCAGGGTCGAATTGTCTGCCAGTACACAAATGGAGCTAGCGTGGCTTTGATCCCACCAGGTAGATCGCCAATGCAGTAGCGTTCTAACACTCCAACATGTGGGCGTGGCATTCAGACGCCGATCTTTGCAGCGATGGACACCTGCATTCTTGTATTTGTGCTAACCTAAATGTAGACTGTAACCCCAATAACCAAACTCACCGCCGACTCCGAACCGCGTTCGCCATCTAACCCCTCAATCGCATCATCCTCAATCCGGCTTTCCCACAGGCCAGAAGTCTCCGAAAACGCTGCACGTCTCCAACATGCCCTCATGTTACCCCAATGTGGGGGTCAGTGCCTGCATTGTCGCCTACTCTGTCTTCCTACTCTTCGCGAAGAACCTTGAAGTGTCTCCAAGTGGTAGCTCAACAATTGAGTCCTTTAACAACAAGGCAAACTCCAGGTACCATCCTATGAAACGGTTGTACCAAAGTCAGTGCAACGCCTCATATACGATTTTACAAACAGTAGATGCTTACCGGTCAATCCGGATAAAAAGCAGAAAGCCCCACCGCCCTTCTTGAGAGCACTTGAGGCACGGGCATGTCCATCTGCTATAGCGAAATAGGATGCAGCGACTAATAGGAACCCTAGCTCCACAGTAAAGAAGATTATGATATATACCAAGTTTGTTGGCAATGATGCTACCAGGAATGCCAAGGTGAAAACCGTCCTATCGAGACAGGTACAAAGTTAGTGTATGTCTGACATACATCTCGTACATGCATCTCTTACCACACTACACTCTTGTTAGTGGCATTGTCACCTCTTGGCTGTCTTGAGTAACTGACTGATCATGAAGAACCCGAGAGCATTGTTGAGCTCTTTTACATTATCTCCGTATGCCGCCACAATTCCAAAGGATGGAGTCAGGATCGCTCCATAACCGGCGTAGAACAGACCTTGTCTCGAGTCAGCCAACATTCTCTAACGGTCGGGTGATCCAACATGCCAAAAGCACTAAATACTGTATATGCGAAGCCATTTCCCACGGAAAGCTCCCACTGTGCAGTAACCACCAGGCCTGTCTTGGTGTTAGCTACGTCTTACAAACGCAATACACATCAGCAACTTGCCAAAGGCCGCCGCGAAGAAGAAATTGGCTACGAAGACATTGTTTGTGGTAACTCCTCGCCATTCCATTAAACTAAATGATAGTGCCGTCAGAGTCGTCGCAAACACCCCGATTGGAAGTGCTGTCTTCACATCTTAGCAAAATCGTGTGTCTTATGGTTAACATCACTTACTCCAGAACCCAACGTCTTCCGGGCAGGAGCTAGCACGACAGGAGCCTCGTAGGTGACCTGTCTTTCGATATCAGTGTTTCCAGAGCTCTTCAGGTCGGTTGCCGAAGAGTGAGCCATGATTGTCTTTGCGCATGAAAGAATTCATCTAATCGCCTGGACCCAATCGATCGCCTTTTGTACCAAACCTAGTCGAGCATCAATTGATGCGGCAATAGTCTCGGCGTGCTGAACACTTGCTACTAGTGTAAATTCATCGCGATTGTTGGAGAATGAATGACGTGATTCGGCCTTACTTGTAACGCTGGGTAAGGGGATGCATCACATTCGACTTTTCATAATCCCACGTTCTGTCAAAATACACTATATCATCCAACCCATTACATTATAGCATGGCGTGTACCTTGCTCGGCACTACAATCTAAGACAATCACGTCTTCGGCTTTCCAGATTGCCTCATTCGTTTTAGATTTCAGGCCGTTCATCTCCATCCGAAGAAGCCGTGGCCGTAGAACAAGCTATCAGAGGAAATGCTAGTATCTTAGAGTCAAGACGGACTATGTTGAGACAAGATCATCGGTGGGGAGACGGCTATCTATAGACCTGGATTATAGTTCACCTACCTGGTCTGATCCCCCGTCGACCCCGCAGACTTCACGTATGCTTGCATATCACGCAATCTACGCTTATAATACGCAAATTTGGTCCACAATGTTTTATTCGGATTCAAGACAGTAAGGCATCTCGGTATAAGACCTTTCAAAATACGATTCGATTATCCAATCCATTTTTGATAACCATTTGCACAAAACAAACATGTCGCCGTCACGCAAAAGGCAACGGACAGGTAACATGGACGAGATGCAATCATCAAAAAACAAACCACTGACCGTTTGTTTGCAGAAGTAGAAAGTAGCAGTACAAATGGCACCAATGGACATGCCAATGGAACAGGAGACAGTTTCACGCCCATAAAACAATTGGACATCAATCAGGATCCAGATCGTGTGTTATTCGCGTGAGCAGCCTCCCGCCGAAATTAAAAACAATTGCGGACCCTAATCTCGGTAAAATACAGATACTGGGTTCCCAATGTCTCTGGTGGTCTTGTAGTTTCCAAAATAGCCCAAAAAACGAGTTGGGACCTCGCGTCAAACGTGCGGTACGCCAGGACAGCTGAGGAAAATGGATTTGAGTATGCGCTCACTCAAGTCCGCTTCACGGCATCATACGGAGCCGACAATCAACACGAGAGTGTTTCCTTTTCCCAGGCCCTATTGCACAGTACCGAACGTCTCAAACTGATTGCTGCTATACTCCCCGGCATATGGAATCCCACTGTTGCAGCAAAGCAGCTCGCGAGTATCGATAACTACAGCAACGGCCGCATTGCTGTAAACATGGTTTCAGGCTGGAACAAGAGCGAATTTGCTGCCGTCGGACAGTGGTGGCTCGAACACGCTGAGCGCTACAGACGCACCAACGAGTTCATCCGCGCCTTGAAAGGCATCTGGACCGCCGACGACAATGGCTTTTCATTTGCCGGTGACTTTGTATGTTCTCCATGGCCTTCAAGCCTCAAACCCCCACCTCAAAATGCTATACTTCTTCTTTTTCGTATACTAATCTCACACACGCAGTACCAATTCCACGACTACAAACTCGCGCCCAAACCGCTGCAAAAGCCGCACCCGGAAATCTTCCAAGGCGGCAACAGCGACGACGCGCGCCACAACGGCGCAGAGGTAAGCGACTGGTACTTCATGAACGGCAACGATCTCGACGGCTTCCGCGAGCAAATCGCCGACGTCAAGGCTCGGGCCAGAAAGTTCGGCCGCGAAGACAAAGTCCGCTTCGGCGTCAACGGCTTCGTCATCATCCGCGACACCGAAGAGGAAGCTATCCGCGTCCTGAAAGAAATCCAGGGCAAGGCCGACGTCGAGGCTGTAGAAGCCTTTCGCGGCGCCGTCCAACAGGCTGGTGCGAGCACGGCGAATAAGAAGGGTATGTGGGCGAATAGCACGCTCGAGGATCTGGTACAGTATAATGATGGGTTCAAGACGAAGCTTATTGGCACAAAGGAGCAGATTGCAGACCGCATTTTGCTGCTTAAGAGTCTGGGTGTGAATCTAGTGCTCACGGCGCATTTGCATTATGAAGAGGATATCGAGAGGTTTGGCAAGGAAGTGCTGCCGCTGGTGAGGAAGCTGGAGGCGGAGGGTAGGGGCAAGGATGTTGAAGACGAGATTCAAAGGACGGGACATGTATACCAGAAGGCGGTGTCGTAGGAATTGTTGTTCGTTTATATGATTTGTGTGTTTGATCTTGTTGGGTACCAAAGGTCAAAGCAAGTTTTGCTTGTGGTGGTACGAACGTTTTTTCCAGTTTCCAAAATTGGCAAAAAATAATGATGACAGAAGAGAAAGAGAGAGAAAGATGAATGGACATGAAGTAAACCCCCCAACCCCAACCCCCTTTGCCTTGCGAAGGCAGCAAACCTTATTCTTACGACTGAAAGACAATTGCGAACAACCACTACTACCTGCATACTCCATCCCTATTCTCCCAAAAAGCGCGTTAACATTTCTGACCACCACCCTAAGACTGCCCCAAGATCCATATCTCCCCATTACTCGACGTATCAGACGTCATATACAACCTCCGCACGGCATCCCACGCCAGCCCCGCCGGCCGAAAGCAGCCCGAGCTATACCCCGGCCCATTCCCCTGACATGTCTCAACCGCCGGATTGAAAAATACGTCCTGCGCCGCCGTGGTGCTCGTCAGCGGCTCCACAGGCGTATAATTCCCATCAGCACCACGCTTAAACTTGACAGCCACAAGCTTGAATCCCGTGACGGGCTGGCGGTTCCAGCTACCATGGTAGGTAACATACATGGTCGTGCTATTAGCATCGAACTTGCAGTCGATGGGGGCGGAGTGGGGCTGTAGTGTTAGTTTTGGGGCGGTGGCGTTTTGCACGCATGTGTCGTCGTTGAGGCTGCTCGAGGGGTTCTGGGTGAACCAGTCGCCGACTTTGAAGGCTTTGTCGGTGAAGTCGCTGGGTTTCCAGACGGTGAAGCAGGATGGGTAGCCGTACCAGGCGTTGTTGGGTACGGAGACGTCGCCCATGTAGTGGATTTTTTCGCCGGGGTTGTCGTTGTGGATGTCTTTACCGTTGCGTTTGAAGTCGTCGCCGCTGTTTTCTACGCCCCAGAGCCTTTTTGTGGGTGTGAGTTTGAGGCTCACCATGCTGTATTGTTGTTGTTTTTTGAAATGAGATGGACTTACATGTTGTTGCTGTCGAAGCAGATGCCGACTTCGTTGCGCTGCCCATAGCCGGCATTGTAACCACCACTCACATAATTGTATCCTCCACTAGGGACACTTGCCAGATTGAAGACCTTGATTATGGCACGTCCTGTCTTTGGGTCTGATGTAGGTTGATCAATATTAGAATTGGAGCCATGAGATACAACCAATAGGTTCGAATTCTGGGGTGCAATGGCAAGAGTGCGTGTAAGATGCGAGCCGCCATTGTACATGCCTGTGATGACAGTGGTTCGGGTCCCGAGGGTACCGGCTGCGGCATCGTATGGCCAAGCATAGACCTGGGTCATGGAGCTTGCATACAGGGTCTTGCCATCGTGGCTCAAGGCTATACCGTGGTTGAGGTTGTTCTGGGATATCAGCATCTTTGTCGAAGTGACACAGCCATCGGCTCCCATTTTGTGGTATGATATGCCCTTGCCAGACTGCACAACGAGCATGTTACCCGCATTGTCAAACTGAATGCTTCGAGGGCTAGTCATCCCCCCAGCAATCTTTGTAGCCTTCCATCCTGCTGCCAAGTTGCCTTGGAATGCAGGATTACCTGCACCAGAGCAGAAAGCAGGAATGGCTGCAGTTGCTACTGGCTTTGCAGTTGCAGATGGCACAATGCTTGTCACAACTGTCGTCAAGTCAGCGGAAGGACTAGCTATGGGCCCCGTCAACAAATTAGCCCGAACTAGAGAATCGAAATTATTGACCCGCGCAGCATCGAGATTGTGGATCCATTTGCCCCAGGCTTGATGGACGTTAAAGGCCGAATTGTTCCGAGCTGCATCTTCGACCGCAGAAGTACCGTACGCCCAAGCGAACTCCGTTGTGCCGGTACCATTCAAAGAATAGCGAGCATCTTCGCTGTTTTGCCACCCAGCGCACCCCTTGCAGAGAGCATTGACAGTCCAGTGGGTAGAATTTGTTCTGGTCCCTTTGAGGTACGTGTGTTCGGCTCCTTCGTACCCAAGGGGTAGACCGATACCACTATACTGTATTAGAGAGTCCCTCTTACAACTTGTAGATTGAGACTCACAAGGCGAAACGAGCTGATACCACTCCGGACTGGCCGTTTGGCCAAGCAACGCTCAGCGGGTTCCAGACCATGTTTCCTCCCCATGAGAAGCCCACCCACTGATTGGCAACTGGGGCAGTAATCCTGATGATGGCATCGTATGGATCCGTCACGTTCTTGGGTAGCGCCACGCCAAAGGTCATTCCTGTCGCCGGCTCCGTGTATGAAGAGTAGCTAATCTCCGTTTCTGCATCATAGACAATAGTAGATTGTGCTTCACCTTCTTGAGCAAGGGCTTTTCAGTGTTAGAAAATTCCAGTTTCTTGAGCTTGCGATACTACTCACTGTACCCAAGAACCACAGCAACACCTCCAATAATCCGGGTATAGCGCATATTGAGTGGAATTTTGTAGATAGACAGTTGTTTGCTAAGCGGCAACAATCACTGTTAACAGGATGTTTTCCAGCTCTTTATGTGATCGATAGTAATGATGGTGGCAATAATGGAGAGCCACATGATACCACGCTTCCTCATCCGTCCACAATCTGCCATCCTTCTTTTTGTATATCATAAATGAAAATGTTGAAGACGTCTGCAGTGGGCCTTCGACTGACCAATCTACAGCCTCAGATTCATGGTCTATTGCAAGCTAGTCTCACCAGACTGGTTGATCTGAGGCGTTTGGGCATGCTCGACAGGTTTCAGCCTGAGTATTGTGACAGAATACATCGATTTGTTAGCAGCGATTGGTATTTGATAGTATAAAGCTGCATGAAGCAAGCTGGAAGCTATCAATTTTGATGAGTTCAAACCTCAGCTTGAACCGGAATCATATTCGCGATACTCGGTATTCGTCCATGTGGTGTTAATGAGCTGCGCTAAGCTTTCCAAGGTCATAAAAGAGACACGGCAGTTGACACGCGAGGCGGGGCTGTGATAGCCAGTAAGTGGGGAGTTTCCACAACAATAGTGGCTGAACATTGGTGTGGTGGATCTCGCATTCATCCATATAACCCGAACCCCCTGGCTTGCATCGATTGTGGGGAGCCTATCAGAGTGTCAACAACTCTGTAGCACCTTCACGAGATTGAGAGAACTAAATCAAATCCGAAATCTGAAACTTGAGCATAAGTAGACTGTACCAGTGCAGCATAACCATACTAAGGAAAACACATTACTGAAGGAGTACATTTGCGATTCTATTTACTGTTGCGGCCTGTGGAATTTGTATATAGAACAAGAAATCCCATCGAAAATCCCGAGATTCATCAAACTTCCAGACTGACTTTCCCAGATCAAGCACGCTTGCTCATAAAAGCATTTCCAAAAGTCCAGAGGCCAAAAGTCGCCAGAATACTCAATCCAATGGGGAGCGGCTTTCCAGACCTGATTGCGCGCGGGATAGAGCTACCAGCCAAGATGATGGAGGCGAGAAGAGCGAGCTCAACGCCGTAGGCAGCACGGCTGTTGACACGAAGACCACCGAGGATGTACTATCATGAATATTTAGATGCTTGGTTCAAAAGAAGAGGTAATGTGATTAGCAAGGGCAAGAGGGCGTACCAGTAAGCCGACGGTGCAACCAGCTGCGATTGAAGGTACAGATCCAGTCCTCACATATCCGGTAATACCACCTCCAGCGGTGAGGGCACCGAGGACCAGAGCAATGTTTCCGAGAGAGCTCTGCATCTTCCCATCAGCATTTGTTCTTCTCTCAAAGGACCTGACTCGTGCATGACGAAGCCAGAGGAATCGCCAGAACATCTGCTTACCATGATTGCTTTATATGAACAAGAACCGGTACGGGTATTCTAACGAGACGAAATTGGGATGACGCAATCAGTGAATTTTGCGATGAAATCTTCAAGGAACGCAGCGACGCTTAAGTATAAGTACAATGGGTGTTTTTGCGGGGAAAAGCGGATATCCGAGCACACCGAAGCCCGGCGCGAATGGAACAAGGCCATTTGCCCTCGTCGTAATCCCGCCCTCAGCTCGGGCCAACCACGAACATCTGGCCTCAAGCTTGTGTACTACCAACCACGACCTCCATCACCGCAACCCATTACACGCCCAATTGCACGCAACGGGACCGCTCGTCTTTCCACCCGACCTTCCCTTTGCCTCTCGTTTAAAAACAACAACAACAACAACAACGTAGAACATAAACCATGCCCCCAAAGCAACGCACACCCGGCACCGCAGACACGCCCTCCGCACCCTCATCCTCGCGCAAGCCAAGCACGACAAACAACACGAGCGCCGCGGCAATCACACAAGGAATATGGGATAAATACGTAACCAAGACACCGCAGCGAACAAAGCTCCTCGACATCTTCCTCGCCTTCCTCGTCGTCGTCGGCGCCCTGCAATTCGCATACGTAGTCGTTGTTGGAAACTTCGTACGTATAACCCCTTCCCCTTCCCACTCTCCCTACCAAAAACACTGCACGTAGAAAGTGGGAGAGTGGAGGGCAAAGAAAATTAGAAACTAGAGTTGACGAGACATGCAAAATTTAGCCTTTCAACGCCTTTCTATCCGGCTTCAGCGCTACTGTCGGCCAATTCGTGCTCACGGCCTCGCTGCGCATCCAGACAAACGAGGAGAACAAGGTCCATTTTGCAAACATCTCGCATGAGCGTGCGTTTGCGGATTTCGTGCTGGGGAGCCTGTTGTTGCACTTTTTCTGTGTCAACTTTATTAACTAAAGGGGGGAATGATGGAGGGGGGGAGGGGCGACTTGTGGGCGAAAGGGAAAGCGAATACACACACACACACACACACACACACACACACACACACACACACACACACACACACACACGATTGCACGGGAGTGGGTTGGTGAAAGGGATGGGCTGCTTCTTCTTCTACTTTTTTTTTGAATGGGAAATGAATGGAGCTAGAACAAGGCGTTATGAATACGTGGATAAGGTTGTCTTATTCGCATGTAAAAGAAAAGAAAAGAAGAAAAAGCTCCGTGTATCGAGTATATTTGTAAGAGTACCACCAAAAAAAACTCTCTGGGATTTCCGGTTTGACACATTTCGTAGACTGGGTCCAAGTCGAACAGTCCTATCAAATGGCGAAGAAACTCTTTCATCTGATGCTATGCTCCACCAGCAAAAGCACTCAACAACCCTTCCACAATCTAGACTTCAATTCCTCTCTCTCTCTCTCTCTCTCTCTCTCTCTCTCTCTCTGTGCGTGTGTGTGCGTGTGTGTGTCTATCTATCTACTTCTCCTTAGCATACTCCCCAAGCCCAAACTCCTCCCTAACCGCCTCTCCCAACCTCCTAATCCCCTCATCAATCTTATCACTCGGCGCCGTCGCATACGTCGCTCTGAAAAATAGAGTGTTATGCTCTTCCTCGGCATCGGCATAGAACCAGCTACCGCGCATAACCAGAGTGCCATGGCCAATAACGCGCATGAAGATGCTCTCCTCGATTGCCTCGATGCTCTTCTCGGGATACGCGGGGTGCTTTGTAAAGTCGACCTTCATCCAGTGAAACATGCCCGCCATGGGGGGCTTCCACTGCATGATTTCTTGCGGCAGGTGCTTTGCGCAGGCGGCGAGAATGGTGTCGCGGCGCTTGGTGTATTGCATGCGGATGTGGATGAGCCAGTCGAGATAGCCGGCGTGGCCCCAGTGCTCGTCGAGCAGCTTGAAGAGCACGAGTTGCGAGATGCCAGATGGGTTCTGCGTTGAGACGTCGGCATATTTGGCGTACCGCTCGATGATTTGCGCGGGTGCCGTGATCCAGCCTACGCGCGAGCCAGGGGCAATGACTTTGGAGAAGGAGTCCATGCGGATTACCCGGCCGTCCGTGTCCATGGAGAGGTAGCTGGGGACGAGGGATTTGATAAACTCGGCATGGGAAGAAGGAGGTGGGACATCGGGTGCGTTGGGGCCCGTGTAGGGTTGCATTTGGAGGAAGTAGTACGGTTCGTCTTCTATGATGTGGATGTCGTGCTTTTGGCACACTTTGTACAGTTCTCGGCGTCGCTCGCCGCTCGATGTTGCGCCAGTTGGGTTTTGTCCTGTAGGCACTGTGTAGAGGAGACGTGGTTTGCGGGATCCTCGAGCGGATTGGTCCCAGTTTGAGAGTATGCGGTCCATCTCGGTGGGCAAGAGACCTTCACTGTCAATCGGCACGCCACATACGCGGACGCCCATTGGCCTGGCGGTTTCGACAAAAGCCGAAAATGTGTACTCCTCGGAGAGAACCATGTCGCCGGGTCTTGTGAGCATTCTGAGCAACATGTCGGTGGCGGATGTGCTTCCAATCGTCATTGTGCACCTCCAGTCTTCATATGGTGGGTCGTGCACCAGTTCTGTGTGCTCAGTCATGTAGCGCAGAAGCTGTGCTGAGCCTGAGCCCTGGCCGTAGTTGAATGCAGTGGCAATGTCGAAAACGGACTTGTTCTCGGCAAGGTCGTGTTTGCCCGCAGTAAGCGTCACTCCCGATTCTTTGGTTTCAGGCTCAAGGAAGTGTCCGACCTGGGGCACCTTGACGGATAGCTCCTCAAAGGGAAAGTATTCGCTAGAGGGCAGTCCTCCTCCGAGAGATATAAGACCTGGTGTACTGAGAAACTTGGCCGCTTCTTTTAGAGAGTTGCCCTTTCGAATCAGGGCCTCATTAGTCAAAATGCCTAAGGGCAAGTAAGCTATCATGCCTGCAAGTTGCTACCTGATCCATAAAACCTACTGCTCCATGACTTTGCTTTGGGCTTGTGGTCGTGCGATTTAAGCCGAAAGTTTGACGTATCAGACGGTGCTGCTACACCCCATTGTGCTGCAGTAGTCTTCTTTCTCCTTGCGGGCATTTCATTGCTCTGTATGGGCGCACTCAAAGGGTTCGGAATAGTAATTCCGGATGTGTCCGAGGTGGCGGATACCTCGACTGCAGACGGAGGTGCCATTGCGTGCACGGTGCTTGTGATTGTCTGATTGTAATGTTTGGTTGGTAGTAGTGTACGCAGTAATGTAGATGTTTATCTTGGTCCACTTGGCTTCTGTAAGATCTGGTTTGATATCGAGGCAAGCGGGTGTAAAAGTGAAGCCCAAGTTTCATGGGACTGTGTAACGTTTAAAGCTCGTTCTGTCGGGAGTCAGATACATACTAGTCGGTCATATCGCGCGCCCTACATATGTAGTCCGACGCGTGCCTGTGGAGAAGTGGAGCCGCTCAACTATGGTTTCGGTAACGGCTAGCCACGGGCTGGGGAAGCGACGCGAAGCGAGTCCACAGAAGCCGCACGCTAAGTTTCTACTATCAATCTTATCATGCAAGCTTCACGCCCTTTGCTGGCGTGTCCATCTCCCAGGCCCGGGCACATTTCATGGGCTACTCTCGAAACTTCGGCCATGGCCCATGTGTGCCACGGGAATGCGAGCGTTGGTAAGGCCGTTGCATGCATGCATGCATGCCGAAAGACGGTCGATGCTGTTGCAGTTCAACACTACGTAAGTTGAGAGCCATTGGCCAATCGGTGCTTTCGGGACGCCGTCACGAGACGTGACACCACGTGCGGACACAAAGCCGGTAGCACCCGCGCTGAACAGACGACAATCTATTATATCCTCCTGTCCTGGATATCTCTTTAGCATGCAGGTATCCCCAGTAGAATGCTGCGACTAGACAATACTGCACAGGTCCCTGCCAAGACTGGCGGGGTATTTTTTGACGCTCAGATCCAAACGCATGTAGCCAACAAACATAAGTTACACCAAACTCCGTAGATCCACAGCCTTCCCTTATCCAAAACAACCAACCATGCCCCTCGTCATAAGAATATAACACCGCAATGTATGCAGTCCCAAGTAAATAGATGCAAGCCGGGTATAGGACAACAGAGGCGGACACATCGTCGAGGCACTCGATGCCTTGTCACATTACCACACAATTCTCATCTTTTTCTTTGTCTTTTCCACCTTTTTCTTTTCGCAGCTTGGTGTTTTTGTCGGGAACATTTGCTGGTGTTGAAGCCAGAGGATTCGGTTGTCCCGATGCTGCGGCTTGAATGATTGCGAGACGCTGCTTTGCTCTTTCGTCTCCTGAGTCCGCAGCCTTGACGTACCACACGTTGGCTTCTAGAGGGTCTCGACGGCAGCCGATGCCCATTTCTGTGAAGTAGCCGCACGCATACTCGGCTTTTGGGAGACCTGGTATTGTTAGTCAACAAATTGCGGGAGGGGGAGGCGACGGATTGGACACTTACCATGCTCAGCAGCCTTCTTGGCCCATTCGTATGCCTCGTTTTCGTCTTTTTCCAGGACGGGTTCAGCACCAACCATGTACCAGGCGCAGAGATTCATCATGGCCTCGGGGATGTCGGCCTGAGCAGCGCAATTGTAATAGTGAACAGAAAGTGCAGCATCCTTGGGGCATCTCAACAAGCCGTGTTCGTAGGCTTCTCCAAGCTTCAGCGCAGCTAATGGATGGCCCAACTCTGCAGCCTGTGTGAACAATTGCACTGCGTAGACTTCGTCCTTGAAAATGTCGTCTCCGTAGCCTGTCTCGTGCAATAGACCCAGTTCGTAGGGCGCGACGTTGTACTGGAAGTCAGCTGATTCCGAGGCTCGCTTAAGCCACTTGACGCCCTCCCGGTACTTGTTCTGAAGACCCATATCGCCAGTCAAACACGCCTTTCCAAGCCGAGTCGCAGCTCCAGGATGATTTTTGGATGCTGCAGCGCGGTAAAACTGAACAGCTTTGGCGTAGTCTTTGCGACAACCCCACCCAAACTCATAGCAGAGCGCGGCACGAAACGCAGACTCGGCATGACCGTGTTTACTGGCAGCGATGAATAATGGAAAGGCTCGATCGTGGTCGGGCTTATCTTTGTTGAACAGACCTGATGCATATCCATCTGCGAGATAGTATTGTGCAAACGGGTAACTGCGGTCGGCTAGTTTCTGGAGAATCTGGCGCGCTTCTTTCAACAACTCGACCGACGACATGCCATGGGTATTGTTCATGCCTTCGTTTGCCATGACCTCGTGGGCAACCTGTATCATGAACAGCGCAAACTCGTACTGGACTGCGCTATCTTGCGTCTTTTTGACGTTTGCCCTGTACATATCTAGCGTCTTTTTCTCGTCGAGCAGCGAAGCATTCTCCCCCACCACACCCCGCAGTCCGGTCTTGCCGAAATTTGCTACGGGTGCAACCTGCTGGTTGTATGGGAGATTGGTCAAGTCAAGGTAGGAAGATTCGGGTCGGACATCTGGTGATCGGCGTGAGTTTGAGACTTGGCGGGCATAAGAGTTGGGCGATCCGTGGGGGGATGGCATGCCGACCACGGACAGGCGGGGTGAATCCGTACGGCCTGGTACATGGAGTTCCGAGCCTAGAGTATATGCAGAACTTGGTCTGGGGACCGTAGAGCGCGGAACCTGTAAAGGCCCTTCTTGGCCATAACTGTGCCCACGGTTATGTCGAATACTGTAGCCATTTGACGAATTCTGGGAGCCAGAGGCCGGAGATTGCGTGGTTTCACGAGGAGAATGTGTGCGTGGAGGCGGAGTGGGATGTTTGGGAATGTCTCTAGGCTGGTGGTGCTCCGTGGTGGTGTATGCAAGCTCGAGCTCGTCCTGAGCGTTTGCAGCGTCCATCTCGGCGACGTGGGAAAAGCGGGCAGAGTAGAAGCTGTTGCTTATATGCAACGGTCTGAAGGGGATGTTTTGCGTCGGTGGAACCGCGTCTGCAGAACGCCCGTTTTCGGGTATGTCTGGCGATTCTCTAGACGGGGTTCTAGAATGGCCGTCTGAGCTTTGGGTCACGGAAGAACCGGACTGCCTTGAATCACGGCCGGCCGTTATGGGATCATGGCGCTGGTCAATATTGAAGGAAGGAATAGAGGGATTACGTGAGGGCGTATGTGGATCGGATGTGCGATACGAGGAGCCAGGTGGTGGATTCAAGTCTGGCTGGTGGGCGGCGTAGGGTTCTTCGTCGAGGGGGAGAGATGGCAGCGGCCTGGATGGCGGTGTCGAGACGGGTTCGGCCATGGCTCTGAAATTGCTCCACTTGCCCCCCTTCCTCAGATCTCTCGAGATAATGTGTGTTATGGCCACTTGGATGCACTGACTCGCGGTAGCGGTGGGGCTCTAAAGTGGTTTCCTTAAGCGGCGCCCCAAGGGACTGACTGGCGACCAGGCAGCC